GGCAAGAAAGCTTCATCCTAAGAATAACATGCATCATCTAAAGACTGATGTAGACCGTCTATACGTACCCCGCAAAGAAGGTGGAAGACGTCTTATTCAGCTAGAATTTTTATACTTTTGGCTTATTAACATTTATCGAAAAACAAAAACAAATGGCTGGATGATATAATTAGACAAATAACACTAAAAGAGAAAGAAAATATATTTAATCATGAAAGAAGGTTTTAATTACAAACAAGATTTACATTTAGTAGATTCTGGAGAAAACCAAAACCAAACCCAAGAACAAATTGCTGCAGCAAAGAATATGTAAAAAGAATGTCAAAAGAAAAGTTCCTTTTTGAAACAACACTGGCAAGTCAACCGCAGCGTTTTTAATATTCAGAACTATGCTAATAAAACCGATGTTGATTTAAGTTAACACTCTTCGATGATTACGGGTATTTGGATAAAGGCTTGTCACAGAAGGCTATATTCTTGCAGTGCAAGACCAGACTCTTTTCACTAGGAACTCTCAGGCGAATATCAAACATAATAGGAAAGGATGACGAGAAGGATAGGGGAGAGATGAAGACATCTGGCGACGTAGATTGACATTACATTTGAATAGTTGGAGATTATAGCTATCAAGAAAACAGGAAAAGGGAAGGGAGTTCCACAGGCGAGAAGTGCGAGACATGAATCTATTGGAGTAGAACAGACGGCTACATTTAACAGTTTCGACAGTAAAAGAATGAGAGCGGGATGCCAGCCTAGTTGAACGCTTAAATTCATGAAGTCTGGGAACCAGCGAAAGCAGCTCATCGGAGCAGTTACTGTAAAAGTATTTGTAAAATATAACAGAGGGCGGCAACGGCACGTCTGTGAGAGAGCGACTGGAGACGAGATGCCAGATCAGGGCCAATTACATTGCATATCCGTCTCTGGATTTGATCAAGGACCTTGAGACAAATAGAAGGGACCCCAGACCATATATGGCAGCAATACTCCATGCAAGGGCGAATGGTTGGTTGATTTGTAGATTTGAAGGATCGACTCAGAGAAAAACATTTCCTGGCACGGCACAGGGAGACAACTTTCCTTGCAGTGGACGAAGCTATTGACTCAATGTATTTGTTCCATCTCAGGTCAGCAGTCAATGTGAGAACGAGCAGCCGTAAAGAGGTGCTCTTGTGGAGTTGATTCTGGAGTCAAACATTAGAACCTAGGAAGGGATGGTTCTCTTTGGTGATGAAAAAGCAGTTTTAAAACTTTGAAAATATGAAACAACTCTGGAAAAAATTTTCATTTTGCTTAGCCAATATCCAGAACGAGGCTGGAAAAAAAACCTTTAACAGCCAATATCCAGAACCCAGTAGGAGTACTTTGTGGAAAAAGGAACCTTTTGTAAAGCCTCGTCTGCCAGATATCTTTTAAAATGAAATTATGATATCAAAAACGAGTTGGAAAAAACCTTGCATGAATATCCTTTCAAGGCTGGAAAAAGAAACCTTTGCATAGCCAATATCCAGAACGAGGCTGGAAAAAGAAACCTTTGCATAGCCAATATCAGAACGAAAACTAATAAAAGACGATGTTGATTCCTTAACAGTCAAAAAATGGTTACGAAATCTTTTTTAAAAAAATCCTGGATGGCTTTATTCTTTTGGGCAAAACCAGAATCTTATTACGAAAAAGTTCAGGCGAATATCATATATAATAGTGTGGATCCAAAATGGGTTTTGTGACAAATATCACAAACCATATTCCATATAATCTCAAGATGTTCTATATTTTTATCCAAATGAAAATATTGTCGTCACAAGATAATTTGGGGGCAATATTTAACTATTCAATATGCAAACACTTTTCTTTAGAAAAAACATGTTAATAAACTTTTGACACTGGTATAAACATCATCTTGAGTTTATTTGATACCGAAATACCGGTCAAAGACATCCTTGCTGGAATATTTTTTGGATTTTGAAGAAGGTCGAAGACCATTTTAAAGACAGAAAATGACTGAATTTTAGATAAAAAAGCATAACATTTTCTAAACCGAAATATCAAAAAATCTTAATGACCTACCAATCAAATAAATTTGACCAATTGGACTTGGAATAACAAAAACATCAAAGGAATTTGAAATACTATCGAAGTGTAAACTTTAAGTTTCTCGAAATCAATTTTAAAAATGTTTAAAACTGAAAATGAATAATAGTACTAGTCATAGTAGGTGAAAGGAATGAAACAAACATTTTTGGATTTTTTTAATATAGCAAAATTCTTGAAGAAATCCCTGGACATCATGAATATATATTGCTATACAAAAAAAAATGTCTTAATTCCTTTACCAAACAGTAGAAACGAAATTACACTGTCTATGTGCACGGATATATTGATGTTTTAGTAAATTCATTGATGGAATAAATAAAACAAAACAAAAAATACAAATCATGATGAATATAACCATAACTGTTGCGCACATTTTAAGGTTTAAACAGGTTTTCCAGATTTTCTTTTCTTTTTGGTTTGCTCAGCCTTTACCCGACCATTTAAAAGAAATTAAAATGGAAAACAAACTTTATGAGGGGAGATAATATGATAGTTTCAATTTTCATAATAATTTTTAAACTCATTTTAATAATAATATTCAACCTGGGATTATACCATCCACAATTTTCAGAAAAATTGAAGCAAATAGGCCGGACATTATTGTCAAAAACCAGAAAGAAAAAAACTTGCCTACTAATTGATATGGCTTGTCCAGCGGATTGTAACATAGCAACCAAGGAATTTGAAAAACTATCAAAATACAAAGACCTGGAAATTGAAATAGAAAAAAATGTGGAAATTGAAAACAAGAATAATACCAGTGGTAATAGGTGCACTTGGAATTATAAAAATGGAACAAAACAACACATTGAAAGAATCCTGGAAACCCCAGCTTAAGAGACATACAGAAAATTGTCTTATTAAGTACAGCACACACACACTAAAAAGAACTTTGTCTATGTAACGCTTCCATAAAAATATTCATCGGAGATAAAAAAAAAAAAAAAAAAAAAAAATTAACATGAAATTTAAAAGCCATAAAAACACACCACGACCTGCCTTAGGTCTTTCCGCAGACTTGGTAGGTAGTGTGTCCATAGCAGAAATCGAATGATGATGATGATAATAATAATAATAATAATAATATAAACTAAATAATTATTCATTTTAAAAATGATATCTTTTTAATAAAATGAAATTTTTGATAGAATAATAGAGTAATGATTATATAATATATTATATATTTTGAAAAAATTTTTTCTAATTCTTATATTAATTTTGTGTTTTTTCATTAATTTTTTTCATTAAAAAATAATATACAAAACAAAACTTTATCAAAATTTCCACTTAAACATTTCACCTAGAAAATTTTGGCTAAATTACTATTGTGTTTAATTAAAAAGGTCGCTGATTTGCCTTTTTTTCATTACTTTTTTTAAAGAATTTTTTCATTTTTTCTTTCCAATTTTTATTTTATAAATGATTGTTTATTTTTTATATAAAATATTAAATAATATCTGTAATTTTAAAAAATTTTAAAATGAAAAAAAGAATTAATTTTTTTTAAAATTGAAATGTTATTTGTATTTTCTGTCTGGAAACTTTTATTTATAAAATATCTATAATATATTTATCAAAGATTTATTTTTTCTTAAAACAATATACATAAATAATAAAACAAAATCAAAAATTTTAGGCTAACTGTCATTAATTTTGAAATTTTTTTAATCAAAGGAAGAAAATAGTATAGTATATAGTCTTTAATTTTAAAACTGTTTATATTGTTACCGTATTTCAGAAGATAAGGAATATTTTTTGCCTATTAAATAAATATTTCTTCTATAAAACCTAAAAAAACATTGCTAATAAATTCGTGAGATAGGGTGAAAGAATTAAAAAAAAAAATAAAAATGAATTTTTTTCATGAAATAAAAAAATTTGAAGGAAATATGCATTCAATTGGAAATAAAGAAAATTTAAGACATATAAAAATATTCAATTTTTTTTTTTTTTTCCAAATATTGATATTAAAACTCAAAATTTTCCCCTTTTTTACCCATTATTCCAAAATTTTTTCTCTTCGTATATTTTTTATGAATGTTCAAATATCAAAATAAAAATTTTAATTTAAAACTTGATTATAAATTAAATTTTTTTTTTTTGGCCTTAAAATTAATGCCAAAATTTATTTCTCTTAAACATTTTTGTTTCTTTTTTAAATTTCCCAAACGGCAATTTTCTTGATTTGTCCATAGTTTTTAAAAGTAAAAACCAAAAATTTTTTGTCTTGGCATCCAAAAATAACATTTTTTCAAATTTCAAAAAATAACTTTATTATTTAAAATTTTTATTTTTCCTTTATTCTAATTTCTCTAACAAAATTTTCATAATCCGTCATCAATCTTTTATCTATCTATTTAAATTATTTCTAAATTATTTTTTTTTCGAAAACAAAAAAAGAAAATTTATTTATTTTTCTTTTTTTTATTTATTTATTTATCATTATTTTTGTTTTATTTATTTTATTTTATTTTTTAATTCTTCCGTTTCTTTCTTTCTTTTTCAATTCACGTATATTTGAGGATTTCTTCCTTTTATTTTTTTTGTTCTCTTCCTTCCGAAAATATTTAAGACTGTAAAATACTTAGCGTTCTTCGTTTAACATCTTTTAAATTTTTTCGTTCTCTTTATTTATTTTCTATTTTTTTTTTCTCTGTAAAATACATATTCTATTTGAAATAAAATTATAAGCATTATTTCTATTCAGATTTTTTTTTTTATTTTACAGATAATGTATTTTTTTTTTTAACTGTTTTTTTTAATTTGTTCAAAATCCTTTTTTTTTTTTAATTTACGTCTCATGATGATTTTTTTAATATTCAAATACATTTTTATTTTTTTTTTTTTTTTTCTTTCTTTTTTTTAATTTTCCCATCAAAGTCAGAATTATTCATTCTTCTAATCAGTGTTTATATTTTTCTTCTTTCAAATTCGCATTATCTATCTATCTATCTATTGATCTATCTATTTTTTATTTATATTAAAGTTCTTTTTTTCGACAGTTTTTCTAATTTTCCTTCTTTTTACATTTTTCTTATTTTCTTTTTTCTTTCCTTTTCTTTCCTTCTTTCTTTTTTTATCCTTTCTTTTTATTTTTTTCTCTTTTTTAAATTATTAATGATTTTTTTTTTTATTTTTTCTTCCCATCATCATTGCTTTCTATCTTTGTGTTTTTATTTCAAAAAAAATTTGTTGGTGTTTTTTCTCTATATTTTCCCATTCATTCAATTATTCAACATAAAATCTAAAAGAACTTTCTTCTGTCTTTTCTCTTTAAAAAACATTTTTTAAATATCTTTTTTTCTTTCTTCTTTTTTTTTTTGCTTTTTTTATTTTTCTTTTTTTTTCTCAGTTTTTCCTGTCTTTTCTCTCTTTTTCTTTTTTTTCTTATTATTTTTCTTCGCTTTTTCTTTTTCTAATTTTTTTTTTTTCTTTTTTTCTCTCTTTCTTTTTTTTTTTTTTTTCTTTTTCTTTTTTTTTTTTTTTTCTCTTCTTCAATCATTTTCTCTCTTTCAGTCTTTTTTTCTCTCTTTTAGTCTAGTCCTTTTCACTTTCTTTTTTTTCTCTTTTTTAAAAGAAGCTTTTTTTTTTTCCATTTCTTTTTTTTTTTGAAGTTTCTTTCTCTCTTTTTTTTTCTTTTCTATCTTTTTTTCCCATCATTCTGTCTTTTTCTCCCTATTTCTGTACATTTCATTTTTTTCTCGGTTTCTGCCTTTGTCTCTCTCTGTCTTTTTCCTCTTTTCTTTCTTTCTTTTCTCTGTTATTCTCTATTTTTTCTATTTTCTTTCTATTTTTCTCTTTCTTTTCATTTTTTTTTTAAATTCTTCATTTTTTTCTAATATTTTCTCCAATCTCATTTTTTCTTGTCTTCGATCTGAATTTAATTCTGTAAATGTCTTCTCTCTCTCTTTTCTGTCTTTTTCCTAAACTTTTCTCTCTCTTTCATCTCTCTTTCTTTTCCTTTTCTTTTTTTCTTTCTTTCATTTTCACTCTATTTCTTTCTTTTAAACTCTCTTTCAAACTTTTTTTTCTGTCTCTCTCTTTCTCTCTTTCTCTTCTTTTCTCTCTCTTTTTTTCCTTTTTTTCTGCATGTCATTTCTTCTAATCCTCTCTTTCAGTCTTTCTGTCTCTCTGTCTTTCTTTCCTCTTTCTTTTTTATTTTTTCCTTAAAGATCTTTTCTTTTTTTCCTCTCTCTATGTTTCTCTCTGTCATTTTCTTTTTTCTCTTTTTTTTTCTTTTTCTTTTTTTAAATTCTTTTCTAGTTAATATTTTGTCTTCTTAATATAACTCTCATCATCTTTTTTCTTTGTCTTTTTTTCTTCTTTTTGACTTTATCTTTTTTTTTTTCTTATCTGTTTAAAATCACTTCTCTCTCTTTTTTCTCTCTCTAATTCCATTTTATAATATATTTAATTTCTTTCTTTAATCTCTTTCTTTTTTCTCAAGCCTTTCTGTTTTTTTTTTTTTTTCTTTTTTTTCTTTTCATGTCTTTTTTTTTTTTCTCTTTTTTCATTTTAAATCTCTTTCCCATCATTTTTCTCTCAAATTTCTTCGCAAATGACATCTATCTTTTTTCTTTCTTTTGTTCTTCTTTTTTTCCTTTTTGTTCTACTTTTTCTTTCATTTTCTTTAATGTCAGCTCTTTCATTTTCTCACAAAATCTTTCTTTTCTTTCTCTCTCCCTTTTTTTTTCTTCCTTTTCTTTTTCACATTTTACCTTTTTATTTCTCTCTTTTTTTCTTTTTCTAATCCCAGAATCTTTTGATAGTTTTTTTTTATATCATCTCTCAATCTTTCAAACTGTTTCTTTTTTCTATTTATTTCTTTTCTATCTCAGAAAAACTCCATTTCTCTTATTTTCATTCTTTTTTTTCTTTCTTTCTTAAAATCTTCTCATTTCTCTTCTTTCTATCTTTTTTTGTCTTTCGTCTTTCTTTTCTTTTTTCTCCTCTTTCTGTCTTTTTTTTTCTCAGTGTGTTTTTCTCTTTCTCTCTCCCTTTTTTTCTTGTTCTTTTAAAATAAAATCTTCTTTTTCTTTTATTTATCTCTCTGCATATCTTTTTCATTATTTCTCTCTTTCATTTTTAAATCTCTTATATTATGCTTTTTTTCTATCTGAAAATGTCAAATCAAAATCTGCCTTTTTCTAATCTCTGTATCAGAATTCTTTAATTCTTATTTTTCTGGATATTCTGGTTTTTTTTCATTTTCATATTTCTCATAATCATTTAAACAATCATTCCTTCTGAAAAAGACAATACTTTTTCATTCATTTTTTTTTTATATTTTTCTATATTTGTATCATCTTTTTGCATTTTCTTTTTCTTTCTCTTTTTCTACTCTCTTCATTTATTGCTTTTTATTTTTCCTAAAATGGTTTCTTTTCTCTTTTAATTCTCTTAATTTTTTTTTTTACTTTTTTTTTTTTTGATGTTTTTTTTATTTTAAAAGAATTAATTTCAAAATTTATCTTTCCTTTTCTTTCATTCAATCAAAAAAAAGTCAATTTCCTCATTTTTCAAGAACTAAAGAAACCATTCTCGTTCATTTCTTCTTTTTTGCTTTTCTTTCCTCATTTTCTTTTTTCATTTTAATTCTTTCCAAATTTATCCTTTTTTCAATTTCGTTTTTATTTGCTCTTTCCTTGTGAAAACTTATTCGTTACTTTACCCTCTTTTTATGTTTCATTTAGTTTTTCATTACATCATTCAGAAAGTCAGTGTATTCTTCTTTCAATCATTTCATTTTATTTTTAAATTCATTTGATTTAAAATGTTTCAAATTATTCTCCTTTTTCTCTTTTTATTCCAATACATTTTCTTTCTTTCTTTCTTTCTTTCTTTCTTTCTTGATTTCTTGATTTCTTTCTTTCTTTCTTTCTTTCTTGATTTCTTTCTTTCTTTCTTTCTTGATTTCTTTCTCTCTTCCGTTCTTTTTTCTTCTTTTCATTCTCGGTTATAAAAATTTTTTCATTTATGTATTTTTGAATATTTTTTTAAATGATTCTTAATAGGAGCGTCTCTGTAAAATTCACACTATTCTCCATCCATTGAATAAATTATCATTGTTTCTCTTGTTTTCCCTCTAAAGTCTTCTCATTCATTTTCATTATGGATTCTCAACCATCATCGTTTTTTGCATTAAAAATTTTTAATAACTTTCCTGATATTTTTTTTCTAAACCAAAATTGTATTTTTCTGTTTTTAAAACCTACTTTTATACAATTTATTCATTTTTTGACCCCAATTTGTTTAAATATTTATTTATATTTTTCAGACCCTAAAAGGTGCTACCACTCCGGTCAGGTTTATTATGGATGAAACTATATAGAATTTAAATGGTTCCATTTTCAAAAACATCCTGAACAGAATAACAGCTGTTTTTTAATATATATATTATATATATATAATATATATATATATATATATATTATATATATTGAGGAATCGCAGAGCTGAGTTCGAATTCAATCGAATCCATTACATTCACTTACGTGCTAATACCCTTGGGAAAGGTATGAATCCTCTTCCTCTCCCTCCAGCTATGGGTAAAATAGCAGGACAGACTGGGTTCTATAGCCTTGGATGGCAACTGGTCTAGGAGAAGGACAACTCTGAATTCAAAACCTGCGGAGGGTCGTTTGGGAACCTTGTGGCATTCAGTGCACCAGGTCTCTGTATTCGTCCCTTCAAAAAGTGTGGATGGTCCTGCACGAAACCTTCACCACTATAATCAAATCTCATGTGCCGGTGTCGGGCTGTCGGTTTCCTGGAAACTGATCTGCTTGACCTCATACGTCGAATCTCGACGGGAGAAATACTATATATATATATATATATATATATATATATATATATATATATATATATATATAAATATATATATATAAATTAAAAAATATATATTATATTACGTAATAAGTAAACCATATATATATATTTAAAATTGCAAATTTTATATATATATATTTATATATCTTTTTATGTTTTTAAATATATTTTATGTTGTTTAAAATATTTATTTTATATGTCAATGGATGTAATATAAAGGAAAAATCTTTATAATTCTAGCTGTGAACAACTTTTTTCTAGTTTCAATGAAAATCCTTTGGAAAGGTAAACCTTATTCAAATTAAGTTTGATTACAAATTATTTATCCTGATTGAAGAATTGAGGTGGGAGAAAATTATATGATTTCAGGGTATGTCTTTTAAAAAAAATTTTATATATGAATTTTTTGTTTTTTTAAATTTTCATCTATGGGCATAAAAATATAAATAAAAAAAAAAATATTTTTATAATATTAATGTAAGTAAATGCTCTTTAATAAACATTTCTAATATATATGTTATAGATTGTTTGTTCAAAAATTTGCCGAACAATCTTCAAATTTGTTATGATTTTGAACATTCTTGAATCACAAAAAAAAAGTATTTTATTCAAACATTCATGTACATAGGACCTTGATATATAACCTTATATATCTTTATAAATATTGTTTAGTCCATTTTTTAAATGCCATATTTCAAAAAACCCTTAAAACTTGTGTGGTATTTTAAATTTTATTTAGATTGTTTGGAGTGTAAAACCTAAAACAGTATTTTCTATTCACAACGATTTAAAATTCCAAAAGCCCACCACATCTCTAGGTTTTTTTTTCCAAATCTTTTTTCCGAACACTCATATTTAAATTGATTTATTCTTGTCTAAATCAACGTATATAAATAATTCATTTGACAATGGACCCAAAAATTTTGTCCTAACCCCTAAATATATAAATTTGAACAAACACCTTAGTGATTCTTTTTAAAAAATTTTAAACTGATTTAAAAAATATCCAAAAAATCATTGTTTCAACTATGCATATTCTCTCTCGTGGCACTGTGAACAAATTAAAATTTTAATATCATTAAGATTTATTAAACAAAACATTTTTCAAAAAACAATTTTTCATTTGTATTATTATATATATATTTTTAATCATAAAACCTGTGTATTTATCTTTGTGTATATAGATGTTTTACCATTTTGAATGTAATTTTTTTTTGAATTAATAATATTCTGTGTTTTTAAAATGCCGTTTTTTTTGTTTGATAATTTTGTTTTTTTTTAACATTTGATAGAATAAATATAAAACAAATAAAAAAAAAAAACAGAAAAATATATTTATTTTTATGAAATGTTTTGTAAATTTTCTTCATTTTCGTAATGAAATAGGATTACAAAAAAGAATTTCACACATTTCCATGAATTTTCCTTTAATAAAGGGTAAAAAATGTCCTTTTCGAGGTAAATATTTCTTACAAGTTAGATTTTTTTAAAAACAACAATATTCATTAAACCAGTTTAGTAATATTTTCAAAATAAAATTATGGAATTAAATTTAAAAAAAATAGATGAATTTTTTCCAAAATTATTTATATATTTTATGGAAATGTAAATAATGCTTTGGGCTTCGATTTTAAATTTTCTAAATCAAAATAATACATTGATCATTTAAATTGATTAGTTTTCCATTTTATTAACAAAAGGAATCAACCACAAGAGCTGAATAAAATATATATTACTGTTGATTTTAAATTTTCTGAAAATTTATTGAAAGATAATAATCTATAATATTTCAAATTCCAAACAATCAAAATAGAGTATATCAAGTAATTGCATAGTAGAGAGTATTTATTATATAAATATGTATATATATAAAATTATTTTGTATTTTTTCATTAAAATAATTTGTGCATAAATAAATAAGATGAAAAAATCAACAGTGAAAATTAAAATAATATCATCGATATCAAATCAAAAACCTGTTTAAATTATGTATTATAAATTAAAAAAA